AATGAACAATGCTAAAGAATCTGACTTGATCTCGCTACTGAAGAATATACAATTCCGCTATTTATTGAATAGGTCTATATATTATTTTCCGTATGGTTAGTTCACCGAAGGGGGGGGGGGGGGGGCAGTGGGAAATTGGTTAAGCGAGATTTTGCTTTTCAATGTCGAAGAATTCTGTCATGGAGAACTTTTTGTCCAATACATCTTTGGTCAATTACATATATTATCACGTCAGAGACAATCTTACTCGACAGTTTGACGAAGAATACATCTTTCACTAACCGTTGTTTTCAATGAACATCGTTCCCGTATACTGAGCTATTTACTTGTATCTGATGTTAATTTGAATTAATGTAAATAAAACCATTTAAGTAACTGGAAATAAAATCACAGATATGTATTTAAGGTACAAAGCACATTGGGGCACGTTACTGCGTGATTTGACAAAAATTAATGTACGGCGAGAGCCACTCCCCCGCCTTCTACCCCTCCCCTTGGTTTTGCCCCCAAAAACCTTAAAAATCAAGTTTAAAAAAGTTCACGTAACTTAGGTTCGCTACGACACAAGTACAACAAAATGAAAGAGAAATCACTATAACTTGTTTTTTTTTTTTATTTCTTTGAACATTAACATCTTCAGTCTTGGTATCGAAGTTAAACTTACATTAAGCATCTGAAATAACGATTATGGTAACAATATTATCACGTTTCTTCTAAATGTGCCGTGCTCTATAGCCTCTCGAACCTCATTTCTTACCACAATAAGTTGTTTTTCTATCATATAATGTCGACACCTTTAAAGGCTAAAATCATTCTTGCATCTTTCGACTTTCTTTTTGTAAGTAAATGTTGCCCGGGTGCGAGGCTTTAAGTTTGTCAAAACGGACCCAGATAACTTTGTAATAAAAAGGTGAGAGGACCTAGAAACAGACATCATCGCGTTCTAAATGAGCTGCAGCAACCACAATGTAAGCTTTAAGAATAAACACTTTGGCTCTATTTTCGTGACAATTCGTGCACAAAAGGGGTCAAGTCATCATCTTTTGTTTACAGTCTCGCACCCAAGCCCTAATTGCAACGACGAAAGCGAAAGGCCCTGGATCGAGAATAAACTTCATTAGTTTGTTCAATACTGTAATGTTATCTCCATCAGCGCTATAATTCTAGTTTTTAGGTTCTATGGACTTTTTTTCTATAATTTACTTTAATATTATTAAAAACACTTGAGGAACTTTTCACTTATTTCACCTGACTAAAAGGGTACTGTGCCTCTTTCTTCCTACCAGCCGTACCGGACTGCACCCAAGTTACATAATGGAAGCCATGTTGTATTTCACTATTCCGAGAAGCGCTGTAACGGACTCGCGTAGTAAGATACCAGTTCATTTTACTTGTTTAAGCTCTGAAAAACAACTACACAACTATCGATTACCTAAAATAAAACCAACAAAAGGCAAAACTGAGGGCCCTTCGATTGTTTCAGACTGCAAAACCGATTTAAAGTTTAAAAGTACAGTTGCGTGTTCCTGACTGTAAAAAAGAATGTCATTAATGATCTCTGTAAACGACTTCCAAACGTCGGCTCCTATTTGTTAAAGGGATCTAGAAAGGTAAAACTTTCGGATTTAGGAAGGAGAAAAATCAAATCAAAAATAAAATATATTATTATTATTATTGTTATTCTCAGGTAACTTTAAATTCTACGAAAAGCACGAATTTAACCGTGTAGTAATGATGACTAATTACTTTCTCTGAAGGAATAAATACGAGATTTTTAACATGTTAGCTTAAAAACATTCAAACAAACAGAAAAATGATCTGATAAAAACCAATTAAAACAGTTTCAATGATAGGGAAGGTGATTCGCCGCTAAAATGACGGTAATATCACATGGGCGCATCATCCAGTATTTTGGGTTTCCGAAAAAAAAAAAGAAAAAAAAAAACCCCTCGCCATTTCTTCACCATTTGTTGTATCATATGTTTTTTAATCATCTCGTCTTTTTAATTTTCTGTAAGTTAGAGTTAAAGTTCCAATTCCATGATCGCGACGATTGATGTGGTAAGTTGTTCACTATCTTAGATTTTGTGTCTTGTACCTTGAGACATCGAATTATTGTTGTAATTACCCTTCGACTGACATAGTGCGCCTCTGCGTTTTCCGCCGATAAACAAGGACCTGACAATAAGTAGTTACATCGAGTTAAAGAAATAATTACAAGCTTACAGGTAAGCTTGACTCAAAGCTAATTAAAGTTTCTCTTCATAAGACTCTTTACCAGTCCCTTCCTGTTCTTCCTTTTAACAGTTGCGTGACTAAAAGTCATCTAACTTGTTACCAGTCTTACTCCAATAGCTCAGCCACCAAAGGCGGCATATCCAGTTTACCAAAGAACTCCAGGGTGACGTAATTTTCCATTGCTTTCTCGCTATATATGCGAAGAGTAGGAAGACAGAGGAGCAGTTTTCCGAGACGATTTGCTTTCTGTGGATAGAGAGCCTCGGAGTAGTCACGCAAATAGATGTTTACTTTCTCTTGCAGGCGAGTGACTTTCTCCTTATCTTTGAGATCAGGCGTATCTATTGGAACAAAACAGACCAATCACGAGAGCCCATGCGCCCTTTTAGGTTCTAAATATATCGTGAGAGAAGGCTTCCTGCGCCACCTTAAAAATTACCGATAAATCAATAAATTAACTAATAACTAAATAACAGGAAGAGATTTGAAGCATGAAAATGACAATGACAATGGAGGTTTCAGATGTGAGTACGCTCAGCTATGCTGGTGTAACTAAGATCATTCAGTGCTGATTCGTTATCTTTCTTTCATTAATTATTTTCACGCTATAGTTCAAATATTTGATTTACACATATTCTCTTCAAGGGTTTATCTGTTCTTCTTTCTAATAGAGACAAGAAGTAAATCAAATCCCACTTCCACAAACCTGGGCTGAGTAAATCTAAAGCAGATAAAAGAGCAAACTCGTTTTGATCGAGATTCAGACTGCGCAGCTTGTCAGTAAATTCCAGGGTTGTATCAACCAGGTCTTCCGTCCAACCGAACGCAATCACTTCGTGCTTGTCGAAAATCATTTCTTTGCTGAACCGTAGGGACATAGGGTCGCAAGGCACCGATCTGTACGCCAAACGAAATACGTTCAAATCCATAAAAGAAGCTTTGATGAGGCACACTTGATCCTCCAAGTCAATGTCCTTGAATCCGGGAACATCTTTAGCCCACTGAATGATCATGTTAAGCTCCTGATAAGCCAGCTGCATGAAAGTGTTGACATCTTTTTCCTTCGTACTTTCGTTTTCAACCACGAGTCCCTCAATATGAGGCATCGTTACCGCTTGATCTCGAATATTTTCTATAAAAGCCATGTACTCTCCTTTGCCGGCTGCTGACTCCTCTTTTTTCTGTTGCTTCAAGGCGCCTTCCACACAATCATTTCCGTCTGCCGACCCATTTACTGCATCTTCTCGACCCCGTTGCTTTTTTGGGCGATGATCCTGCAACGAACGATGTCGATGTCTTCCACCAGGAGTTCGGTCCTCTCTCACAGCTAAGGGATATAATCAACAGAGAGAGGTGTTTAACATACTGCGACAGGCAGCTGTGGGCTACTAGCGAGTATTTTTACAGCAATAATCAGTACGGGAATATGCTGTAGACGAGGACCGAACAAAAGAGTTATTGAGAATTGGTTCTCTGTAGACCTTAAACCAAGTAAATTTATAGCAAATATAAAATGTCAACCATACGTTTACAAGGGGTTCACCTCTGCAATAATCAGCCACCGCGCCGGGAGCCGTAAAACACTTGTGATACATGCCATATATTGATCGCCTTCAGACTGAATAGTTCTGATGAATGTATTCAGTAACAGCGCTACGAGTAAAAGCCACTCAGCTCTGATACTGTTTACATTTTACCACACAACTGCCTTACGGTAACACAAACACGCAGCGAACAACAAAAAACTAATTAAATGGATGTCATTAGGCTTGTTACGTTGCTCCAGGTAATAACTCGCTTTGCTCTCCGGCTGCAACTTACTAAAACAAAAGAAGTAGATCTCACCTTCCTTTAACATTCCTTGAGCCATACACTTCTGAAAGCGACAGTATTGGCACCGATTTCTGTTCAACTGGTTTACTTCACAGTTTCCATCTCCTTTACAGGTGTATTCCAACTGCTTTTGTACCGTTCGTTTAAAAAACCCTTTACAGCCCTCACACGTAAAAACTCCATAGTGGTAACCTGTGGCTTTATCGTTACATACAACACATTCGGATGTCGCTCCACTGTTCGCAGCCACCGGCTGACCTTCACTGTGGCCACCTTCCTCATTGTCGACAGACACGCCAGGCTTTGAAGGCTCTGTCGCCACGGTCGAGGTGGAGCTACTAGAAGATTTCCGCGTAAATTTACATGAGTTGAAATCTGCATCGTTTCCTTGTTCTTGTGGCTCAGGTTTGGATAAGGTAAAATCCATAAAAACGTCTGCCAAGTCACTCGAACTTGGGTCACAGAACTTCGCAGTGTGCCCCGCCATTAATCTAAAAGAAAATAATAGCAAAAAAAAAAAGAAAAAAAAAAAAAGAAAAAATAGCGTCTTCGGTTGGTTGCGTGTAGAACTCTTATTGGAAATGAGATCAATTATACATGTAAACACACCTAACTCAAATGTTTTTATTGGACATATTATTCTTTACTCGAATTCAAGAAAACGGTTCAATTTGACAAACAAGGAGTGTTAATCACCACTGAGATTGAAAAGAAGAGAAGAGAAGAGAAATTTAAAGTAATTAAAGAAAATTTGAGGAAATTTAAGTCATTAGCATATTTTCAAAATTTGAGTTTCTTCAGACAAAATAATCAAAAAATTTCACAACTGCAAATGACTGACTGAGTGCACAAAGTAATTAAATTATCTGAGAGAATTAAAAATTAGAAAACAAAGAAAAATCACCCTAGTCTGATATAATGAAATATTGTTTCAAATTTTTCAGCCACCTGCAGGAATGATACTTGCAGGAAACTGAAATATTTGTGATATATTTTTTCTTTGTAACATCAGCAGGACAGCAGAGATCTCTTTTGGTGAAAAAAGGGAACCTTTTCTATTCTGAGTGTGAATTTGTTGTACTTGTGTATGAAATAAAAAGCTACATCTAGCTCAGAACATAGGTCGCTGCTTAAAGTAGTCTGGTTCTGAGTCGACCGGAAGTGATATAAGCTGCAGTGAAGTATATTCATTGTATAGTCTGTCATATCACATTCACACATTCCTTCTACTGACATTCTAACTACTCTCATATTAAAACACTTGAGACAAACTGTAGAATGATGAATATTGCAACGCCATACATGCAAGAACCTATTTCATAACAACTTCTAAGGCCTTATATTTGCAGATAAAACCCTGTGCATTTTCAGAACATGTTGCCTTGTGTCACTGAAAGCAGTGGGCTGTAAGCTTTGTGAAAAATATTTACATTTCATCAGTGTAAATGCATTTCCACATCAGCTTTTTAGCTGCCACTTTCGACCTTCATTAACAAATAAAGTTTAAAAAGAAGTCAATCATAAATGGCTATGTTGAGATATTTCAACAAAAAAGCTGCATTGTGATGTTAGGCTGTCTTGTAAAAACTTCGGTTTTACATGCAGGAATTTACTCTATTTTAAAAATTGGTGCATCATTTGACTTTGTTTGCTAAATTTGGTTGTTGGATCCAGGATTTTTGTGATGACCTGTTTTCAGGATATCCTACAATCATCCTAAACTTTTGGTCCAAATATTTTAGGGCCTTTCCATACAAGTTCACTCATACATACAATTCAATCTCTTGGTTCGACAAATGCTTGCAAATAACTTCACAGAAATTTCAGTCATTTAAAAAAAAATTAAAAGAGAGGGAAAGAAAAAAACTAAAGAAGGATAAATGGTTAACCAAACAAATAAAACAAAAAAAGGATAAAAAACTTTCTGGAAACAAATTATGGGGTTATGCTACCTAATAAAACCAATCACATCAGTCTCTTTTACCCATTACACCCTAACAAGCATGCACATTCTCTATACTGTTCTCTATACATTTCCTAAGGTGCTGACAAGGAGAATTTGTTTAACAATCAAGAGCTTCTTTAGTTGGTGATCTTTGTTTGATTCAGAGTGATATTTTAAGGAAAAATTAGATGCTAGTCTAAGGGGTTAAAGGATTAAGTTTCCATTCCTGTGATCGTTGCATGATTGTTTTGCATACAAATTTTGATGTACCATTGAACCAATATTACTAATTAAGACTTCTACTACTGAGCTAGTGATATGATCTGATTAAGAAATCAAAAGCACAGTTCCTTTAAATTTTGCCCTAATAATAATCTTTGGTTTTGGATTGTTAAGAATCATCATTTACATTTAGAGATTAAAGATGATTCAGTGCTCAGTTGAGGGAGGAATTGTAGTTACATTCGTAGTGCAGGTAAAATGGCATCAAGTGTGTTCTAACAAAAATGTTCATATCTAGATTTAGCCAAGCCTTAAAGTGGAGCTCACATTTTTTTTTTCCCGCATGCCTTGCCCCAGCCAGGACTAGAACCTGGGTCATCTGACTTGGAGCCCAGTGCACTGACCACTGGACTACTGGACAAAGCTGAGGCGTTGGCATGCCCGTGGTACAGTTGACCATGCATGTCAAAAGTAGCACCTTGTATGGTTGTATGGTCGTGCGGTTGTACATCCAAATTTTTTCGGCTTGATTGGTTACTACTATTTTGTATAATTATAGGGCTCCGCTATTACTGTTTCAAAGATACCACACTGTAGAGCAATGGATGTTTAAAGCTTAATTTTGTCAAGATTTTCAAAATTTTCAAAATCCCTCCATACACCAAAAGATACTTGTAAATCAGTCCACAATAAACACAATTTATGGAAATAATTACATTGGTAATTCTACTTATCACATATCATCTAGAATTGATTTATTAAAACTGAGATACTTGCCAAAAAAATTCAATAAAATTATTGGTAGCCCTTCCACAGAAGTTTAATTAAACTAATCCTTACTGCAGATAGCATGATGCAAAAAAGCACTTACTATAATTTAAATCAATATATATTTCAGTAGCATGATAGCATACATAAGGTTTTCACAAAAATAATACAGTTATACTTGTAGTGCTTTTAAATTTATTTCTTCAGTTAATAAATGAATTGTATTAACATTATATTTTGAAGTGACTGATGAGACAGAGCGATGGTCACATCAATGTAACATTTTCCCTCGTGTTTGTCATCCCAACTCAAATGTTTTTAAAGTAAAATACCTAAAAAATCATATTGGAAAACCCACACTCTCCAAATTTTACTTAAACAAAACAGTGTTCCCAATTCAACAGTGCTGAGGTTGGCTTAAATTTGTTTGTGTTGACTAGAAAACACTAATATTTTTTAAAAAAGGAGGGGAAAATCAAATCATGATTACCACCACAATTTTAAATATGAGGCAAGAAAGACTGTTTTAACTCTCATGGATTAAGAAGAAACAAAGAAAATTAATTCAACATTCCTACCACTGCTGCAAATACATCTTTCTTCTAATTTTCTTTTGGGATTTATTTCTCATTTACCTGTAGTCATACCCTTTAGCGTTGTTCTCAATCCAAGCAAAAGTTTAAAATTCAGTCTATCACTGCTTGTAATACATTATTTATCCATGCCCAGACTATCCTAAACATACTGAGGCTAAAGATTCAAAGAAAGCTGTGGTTGTAAAGTGCTTTAATAGCCTGCTGTGCTTATCCGCTTCAATGGGATTGAAAGTTATTCCACAACAAATGCAGTATGACATGCTATTGGCTAATTCATATATTTCAAAAGGAGAAATGTTGTTTTGATCTAACCCTCAAAACAAATGCTCAGCAGGAAGCAAAATTCTAGCATCCATAATAAAAAAGAACTCCACACAAAGGCATGATAAAAACACATGGCCTCTTTAGAAACACTTTTGGAAAAAATCATTTAAGTTTATATTCCCCCTTTTACATACTGGACAAATTAAAGATGCTAGCCTGAAATAAAAGCTGATACATAAAACATAATCATACATGAAAAGGAAATTTTACAATACCAAATAAAGCCCTAGGAGAAAATTACTTATACTGTTATTTTTTAATATCATGCAATCTTTTGTTGCTGTGCCCTTAGAGGAATGGATCAAAACTTGTATGAGGTCTTCAGTATGCAAGCTGTATGAGACAAAACTTGAAACAGATGGCTAATAATATCAGAAATGTCTCTCTAAGAAAGTTCAAAGATCTGGAAAGTGTAATGCTTCAATAAAATTACACCACAAGATACTATGTGAGAATATTATTAAATACTGCAGGTGACGTCCAAGGATTTCCTGTCTTCCTTATTGTTGCTAATGGTGGCAAATTTACCTACATCCATCTGATCAATCAGTGTCAGTTGTATTTCAAAATATATGTGTACACCTGCGTGTCTAAGTTATCTGGTATAATGAATACATTATTTGCTGCTAGCGCGTCTCAAACAGTCAACTACAAGCCTAAGGTGTTTATTTCATTTGAAGCCCAAAACGTCTAACTTATTTTCAAAAATGCTCCTGAAAACAATCAAAGATGATAGCATGTGCATTTTAAAGGTTTGGCTCTTATTCTGTTTGAAACATAACTCTGTAACTTTCAATAACACAGTCAAACCTTGATTATCCAGACTAGTCACTCCAGTCCCACTTTTTTATGAATATAAATTAATCACATTTGCAAACCATAATTACTTCTTTTCCATCAAACAGAGAAACTGTAAAGAGACTCCTTTTGGCACTGAATTTGTTCCACTTTCTGAATGATGGAAAGACAAAACAATATTAACCCTATCCAACTAACGCAGCTTCAAAGAATGGTGGAGTTAGACACGCACACATGTTGTAGAAGTGAAGCTCATCAATGATAATATTTCCGATTATCCAGACTATTGATTATCTGCACTATTCAGACCAGTCCCCATGGGTCAGGATAATCAAAGCTCAACTGTATTACTTTTAAAGCAAAGAGTTTTGTTCAATAATAAACAGAAAATGAAATAAATGTTCTTCTTTTGACTGCATTTACTAGTGGAAATTCTGTGGTCATTACCGGCATTTCAATTGTAGGGAATGCAGGGTTTTTGAATGACTTAACTAAATTAAATATGCATACATGTATTCAAGTACTACAGTAATTCAGATGCAAAGTACATGTCATGCACATTAGGTCAGAAACAAACAGATTCCATTAATGAAAGGATGATTTTATTTTCGTTTTTTTACTTCAACAAAAACCAATTTGGCTTTGAAGTTCTTAAACTGTTATATATCTAAGTCAGTCTCACTGAGTTGGATCACTGTTAAACATAAACAACTTTTATTAAATTTAAAAAATATCTGTGAAATACTTTCCAATAATAAAATTTCCAGTTTATTCCAATAACTTGCCATCTACATAGGATCAATAATTGTCAAACACCACATTAAGTGCATCTCCTGACAAAAAACTAACAAAAACATCTTGTCTGATTCACTTGATGTGTTTCCATATTCAGTTAAAGAAAAGATGATAAGGACTACAAGGTTAAAAAAAAAAACTCATTGATTCCAGCGTCTGGAACCAGTCAAATACTTTCATGGTCTATTCCAACAATAAACTTAGTCCATCGCTTGTATCCCTCTAATGATGATACTAATGTCATTTTCAGCATTCCTTGTAACGTTCATTTTACTGAATCATTGCTGCTTGGAAAACTTTGTTAATGACCTTAACCCTTTAAATCCAATGAGTGACCAAGACAGAATTTCACCATAAAATATCAATACAATATCAAGAAAACAAGCAATGGGAATAAAGGAAATATCTATTGGGCAATAATCAGTTGATCCAATACCAACTCTCTGCATTAAACACACAACTTGAAAACTGCTCTCTCTCAATAATATGTTCATTACTAGAAAAGTTACGTGGCAGGTGGAAGTTGAAATACCTACAGCTTCCTTGTCCACCATTCCCAAACTCTGATGCAGTAAGGATGAACATGGGTGAAAATCACAAGGAACTGCATATCATGGTTTTCTAAAAATTCATTGTCTTGTAAATCACTGAATGACCAATAATGACTGTAATGACTAAATGATGAGCTACATAGTGAAAGAAGGAAAAAGAAAGGAAAAAAACAAAGAGAAAACAAAGGAAAAAAGAACAGCTCTTAGCTCATGAGTGAACCTTAGTGCTTAATTCAAAGACAAATGGATGCTCAGTCATTTCATTACCCATCTAATATTACATAAAAATATCCATTTTAAATTCTTTCTCTCTTGTATTTTTTCCACTGTTGACTAAAATTTACTCTCTGCTGACCATTTTCTAATTCTAATTTTTGGTCACTGAATGGTGCCTTTGAAAAACCTTATGCTTGCTGCATTGTACAGTACTTAAATAGTATAATTCACTCCTGATCAAAGTCTGAAATAAAAATGACATGCTCTCAGACAAGCTAAATCTCACAAAAAATTTCTTGACTAAATAAGTACAAATGATGGCTCATGAATTAATCATTTAGCTATCACCATAAATACTGTAAATATCACCATAATAACTATAGAAAATACATGCTTGTTTATGAATCCTCTTATTCAAGTTTAAGTAAAAAATGTACCATCTATACATAAGTGCATCAGTAATCACATAATTGTCATTGATGTTTTTTCTTTAAATCAACAAGTATGTCACAGTCACAAATTTCACTTAATATGAAGATCATCTCGAAAAAAGTATTTAAAAAAATGATCTGTCGAGGAAAACTATTCAAAGAGACGGCAGCAGATCGATAGAATGATGAAGAAATCTGACTCTTGATGATTTTCATGAAGATATCCAAAACAGAGTTGTATTTCACTCTTTGGCCGTCCTTGTGTTAATTTGCAAGTGGCCGTGATACGCTCTTAAACTTCTTATTTATCAATAGTAATCCAGTTGAGTATTGTTTGAGCGAGGCATAAAAATAATTAGTCACGCACTGCTCCTGACCAAGATTCACGACCATAACAATCATTAAACACTTCCTTCCGATACTGATTGAGAGAAAAACACAAACATCGGAATTATAAGCGAGTGCTGTGCGCGAAACAGACCCCAGCAATGATGAGAGCACACACTTAACGAGTGATATTGAAATTAATCTATTATAACGTACCCGATGTGAATTCGTTTAGACGTGTAAATTAAAAAAAGTATATATGTAACAATAGTGACAAAAATACGCACAAGGTTTTAGCACAAAATCAGAATATCTAGATTTCGTGAAGGTGAAATACAAGCTCCGTTTTCGAGAAGATAATCATCTTCAATCTGAGATCGAGAAATTACCTGACTTTCTCTGAGGTCTAAAAAACACGCGAGTAGTTGTGAAAGAAATGACTCACGCACAGTCCTAATTTGATTTGGTAAGTGATGAGGTAGAGGTCTTTCGAACACTTCCGATCTACAGCTCTATACAACTCCATATTTAAAAGGCATGTTTTCAGGCTCGCAAGCAATCTTTGTTATGAAGGAAATTGGGAAGGAAGAAACTGCATATTAAGCTTATTTATGCCAGCAGTGGTGATATTCACGCGAACATGTTCCCGCCTGGTAAATTAGGAATTATTGAACTACAGACCAAAATGGAGCTATTAAATTTGAATATCCACAACTTGCCACGACAACACAACGCCTGTATACATTTAGTTTAACGCAGCAAAGAAAAAGGTTAAAGTTAATTGAAAAATAGGATATCAAAGATGGATGTACACTACATTTAATTTGTCGACACATGTTTTGCAGCTAGTGTCTTGTCGTATTTTGAGAGTTGAACATCATAACATCCTCTCATTTAGCGTCTTCAATAGCATAAAAATAAAGCTGCTTACCTTTTGTAAAAAGACTGGGGCAGAAATGGACAGTTATTTCCAGTAAAGCCAAAAGATTCGACTGCACTCACCTTTCACAAAAAAGTGAAAACAGACACGAATGACCGATCGTCAACTTGTCGTCGTCCAAGTCACGTGACTTTCGTAGAAAGCTGTCGGGTGATCACGACGGGTAGTGTCGCAGCTGAGCCGAAAACTAGAAAACGGACTTTGATATGTTCTTTCTTTTTCAGCTGTCGATTTAACCGAAACATAAAATAGCATCTGCCTTATTGTGTGGCACCGCATGGTGCAAGCCAGTGAGTCAGACTGATGCTTTTCAAGCTTTTTATTTGCGGCAAGATCGTTAGCCACCTAAAAGTCTTATATCTTTTCAAGTTTGATTCAGATCGGGAAGTACTGTCGTAGTTGCTGTTGCAAGAAGAATTGAGGTCTGGAAATAAAATACTGACTGGACTTCCTTCTGTTTTGTTTATATATCTTAGAGCAGAACTCAATCTAGTGTTCCCCACAGGGTCCTACGGAGAGGAACCTACACGGGTAGGGAGAGTCACACACCGACCGAGGTCTGAGAGACTGGTACAGCATCAAATCGATAATTTTGAAAAGCGAAAGGATCCGTAAAGTCGCGGTTGTTGGACCTGCAAAAGGAATCTTCGTCCATCTCATCCATTGTTTCCAGTTTTCTTATATTACATACACAGAATTATAAAATACAGATACATTTACACCGAAAGCCGACTATTTTTTACTAAATCGGCCCAAGGAAGACAGTTTTGTTCAACTTTATCGTACCGTCAGCAATGGCAGCAACTAAAACGGAAGCAGTGCCATCCGCTATGCGAAATGCAAGCACGTAAGTAACACAATAACAAACTACGGTTCTTAATTTTTAGAATCTGTGACCCGCTGTCTAATTCTATTTGCTCTGTTTGTTTGTTTTTTCTGTTTCAAGGGAAGGACTTGAGTCATGGAAGTCTAAATTGAAAACGCCAGCGAAGGATAGGCGCATACAGACCACAGTAAGTTTTACCTGCTTGTATATTATTCGAACTAACTTGTTTCTGATTTCTTTCTTCGTGACTGAATTGGTGGACTCAAGGAACTTATTCAGAAAGCGTTCTTTTGTAGCTTTCACTTTTCAGCCGTAAATTTCCGTACATCGTGAACCTTTCTTCGCGAATAAGGAAGTCATCGTTAATGATCACCACTGTGCTGGATGATTCAGTCATATAGTCATTCAGTTAAGTTATGGTACGGGTCTCCTCATAATCACCACCCTATGTTTTATAGTTTCGTGGAAGAGAAACCATTTTTAACTCAACTGAGCTCAAAACAGACATCAATGTCCGGTCTGCCAGTTTCATTACTTGTAAAAGAAATCCCTTTTGTTTAACCACACTGATTTGAGTTCCTTGCTTATAATTCAAACTTCCAGAGTGTTCTTACCGCCTGTTTCATCTTATTTGACTAGCTAAACTCTTCAAATGTTATATCTGCACCATAGTTAGTGGTAGTAAAAGTTGACGAAAGCATCCTCCCCCATAATAGCTGCTGTATCTCAGTCCATGAGTGTTACTTGGGTTCAAGAATGTTTTGCCCAGAAGGGGGATGGTGGATGGTGATATGTCTGGAATGGATCGGCATTAACCCTGTCTATCATGTGGTAGCTTGAACACACCCAGTTCACTTGTATTTCTGACATCAGTGTTAAAAATATTAAGTAGCAAGTGCATAAATATGTTGGGTTGCCACATGCCCAGATAGTACAGCAGTGTTAACCTCTATACTGTCTTGAAAGTTATACAGACAACTGCAGTTCTAACATGTTATGATCTGAATAAAATAGGATGTAACAGCAACTAAAGGAAATGATTTTGAAGACTACCTGCTCAAAAGAGAATTACTCATGGGAATCTTTGAGAAAGGTTTTGAAAAGCCTTCACCTATTCAAGAAGAGAGTATCCCAATGGCTCTCACAGGAAAACACATATTGGCCAGGGCTAAAAATGGTACTGGAAAAACTGCTGCCTACCTGATACCTCTTCTAGAAAAGTGTGACGTGGATAAATCACATATTCAAGGTTAGTCTTTCATACACTGTGTTGTTATTCTAAAAGGATAAAAGTTCATATTAAGACTTCTGCAGCCTGTAGAAGGCTTTTTTACAAATGAAAATCAGCAACCTAGTGTATATGGGAAAACTGTTGGGGCCAGGAAACAAAATGAAGGTAGCAAAGAGAGCCTAGTAGTCTGGACATACAGCTCACTTCACCTACTGACCCATCCATTTCTTTACTTTGTTTTCTTCTCTTATTTAGGGCTTGTGTTGGTGCCAACCCGTGAACTGGCCCTACAAACATCTCAGATCTGTAAAGAGCTTGGCAAACACCTTGGAGTACAAGTCATGGCTACTACAGGCGGCACAAGTCTTAAAGATGACATAATGAGACTATATAATGATGGTATGTTTATAGTAAAATGCTCTAGGTAATGTGAAGGAATATTTCTTGTCTAATGTTCTGCTCTAGGATGGTCCTCAACAAGGAGTTGTTTCTTCTTATCTTTGGTTCTAGATTCTGCCTGAACAGCAGTGTAGTATTGAAATTTAAAGAGAATTATGCTCCAAAAGTCACTTAATTTTCCACTCTAACCATTTTATAACCATTTGATATCTTTAAAAGTACAAAAAACTCAACTATAGGCAATTGAATTTTGAAAATATCACTGACCATTGTGTATAATGCAAACTTGCACAAAGATGTAGATGATAGGTAAAAATGAAGGGCTGCTGAAGTTTTTACCCTTGGAATCATCACCGGCAAAGCAGTATGCAATGCAGTTTAATAGCAACAGTGTTCAACTTCATAATAGTATATTGGTTTTTTCCCCACAGTTCATCTCATTGTTGCCACACCAGGTCGGATACTGGACTTGATGAAAAAAGGGGTGGCTAAGATGGACAATTGCCAAATGCTTATCATGGATGAGGTAAGTGCTTGGAAGATAATTTTGTTACATAGGAGTGTTGCACCATAAATCATACTTTTTTATTTTGTTTGTCTTCTCTTCCTAGGCTGACAAGCTTCTATCCATGGACTTCAAAGGGATGTTAGAAGACATAATTGCTTTCCTTCCACCCAGCAGGCAGATTCTTCTTTATTCAGCCACTTTTCCATTGTCAGTAAAGGAATTCAAGGTCAGTGGCAGTATGTCTTCAAGAATAATTACTTCTCTAATTTAGAGTTTTTTCACTGCTATCCTCTATTTGAATTTGTATGGCTTTTTTTCTTTTTTAAGATACAATACTTCTTTGTGTGGTAAATAACGTAATATGTATTCAGGACTCTTTGTGTTGTACAGCAGCCTTGGACAGTGTTAACTTGTTAATTTCTCATTTAATACGTGTTATTATTATTAGACTGGCATATTTAATGAGAGGATTCCTTGAGACTAAAGAACTTCCTTCTTAGATGAGAAATCAAACAGCAGTAAATTACCAACTTGACTGGAAAAAATTTTCAGCTTGTATGTTGATGGTATCTTTGGTTTGAATCTTGTCTTATTTCCTTCTATTATGTGTGCTGGCTAATAGAAACTGTTGCTTTTATTTTCTAGTAAGTTCATTTAATGTTTGTATTTGTTTGGTTGAGCTGATGGTCTTGTGGAAGTGGTATGTGACAGGCCCAAAGAGCATGCGCTTATTGACTAAGTGGGCTTGCTGTTAACGATAACGGGGGCTTTTTTGTACTTACCATGTATTTTGTTGTGATTCAAATTGGCAGGATAAACATTTGGATAAACCCTATGAAATAAACCTTATGGACGAGCTGACCTTGAAAGGCATCACACAGGTAATCATTATGTGCAGATGTGTGTCAGTTTTTATCCCTTTTCCCTCCCTATATACCATTTTTAAAATCATTTTTAATATCTTCATTGGTTTTTTAGCCTGACACGTCACCACTCTCAATCATATGTAACACTGTGTGTGCTGTTAGTGTGTCAAGGAACAGGGCTTCTTTGTTTGAAGTCAGTCCCCAAGAAAAATTATTGCGGCTGGTTTTTTTTTGTTTCAGTATTATGTTTTCCTGGAGGAGAAACAGAAAGTACATTGCCTGAATACTTTGTTTTCAAAGGTACATTTCCTTTCTTAATCTGCTGAAGTGTCACATGTTTAATTTGCAGAAGTTTCATTTTCCATGAAACAAAAAATTAAAAAAAAAAGTATTTACATGTTGGTCTTGGAAAAAAAAAAAACTTTCAATTTTACTTTGATAGCAGTTGTGCAACTAAAGAAGTGGAGAAGCATGTGCCAAAACAACCATTAAATTACAGATTCAGACAATGAATTCTAAGGAAAGTCACTTCAATCAAATAGTGCTTAAATAGAAATTCAATCAACCAGAGTGTAAATTATATGGTGTGCTGTGTTCTCCAGATGGAGCAGTGGTATTTGGCATTTTTGCAAGCTACTGGTTTCTGAAACACCAGCTAATGGACAGGAACTTAAAGTTATTTCAGTTTTAAAATTTCAATTTTGTTCTTCCCAGCTTCAAGTGAACCAGTCAATTATCTTTTGCAACTCAGTCAACCGCGTTGAATTGTTGGCCAAAAAGATAACAGAGCTCAAGTATTCCTGTTACTATATTCATGCAAAAATGGAGCAGAGTCACCGCAACAAGGTGTTCCATGACTTCCGCCAAGGAGAGACAAGGACTCTAGTGTCTTCAGGTAAGTGGTTTGACCACAGGCCTGGAGCCTCACAAACAGTTAAACTCATTGTCATATGCTATGGTTGGAAGGGGATCTTTTGAATCCTTTAATTCCCAGAAGTGATTAATATAAAACTTCTCCCTACAATATCTATACATTCTTCAGCAAACAGGTAATAAGAATATTCAAACTTATCAGGTTGAAGCTGCTATCTTGATCTAGCACCAAGTTCTCATAACTAATTTACAAGGAAATGTGTAGCAGCTACAGGGGAGAATTAACAATCAGATCTTGGGAGTTAAAGGGTTGAGAACTGTTATATAGATGAATAGGTGTCATTAGGGGTGACTGATAATGTTTTTGACAAGTTGTTCTAATAGATGAATGATTTCTGGGTAAGAGAGATAACAACAGTCCAACATATTTCAATTTGTTACATTATGTTGTATGTAAATCTGTTTTCTCACTTATGTGAGGTGATGTGGATCTATGTTTTACAGTCAAGTCACCCGAGAGTCATGTTGCTCAAAACCTGAGTCATGAGTCATGTTTAAAAATTTCTTAATGTTATTGCCTATTAAGAGTTTGAAATTTAGATCTTTTTAGTATTTGTTTCTTCAGGCAACTTGACTCTTTTTTGGGGGGGTGACATAACTAAAATTTCGGGCAACATGACTTTGGGTGAGATGACTCTTGGGTGACTTGACCAGTTACCGGATCCATCTACAGAATACTAATATTAGGTAGAGATCATTCTGTTAAATGATGTTCATCTCCCTATGTAGATTTGTTCACACGTGGGATTGATGTTCAGTCTGTCAATGTGGTCATCAACTTCGACTTTCCCAAAAACTCAGAGACCTATCTGCATCGCATTGGCCGTTCAGGTCGTTTTGGGCACCTTGGTCTTGCCATAAACCTTGTCACTTACGAGGATAGGTTTGATTTGTTCAAGACTGAACAGGAGCTTGGGACTAACATAATACCATTTCCCAAAAAAGTTGACAAGAAACTTTATGTGGCTGAATTTCAGCAACAAGAAGAAGATGACTAGTTACACCAAAACTCCTGGTAGGAAAACATGCAACAGCTTTACACATCTTAAAAGTTGGGAGCTATCTTTAAGAGAATTTCAAAACAACCTCTAGTTTAATTGTTTACCACTCCATGCAAGCAAAACTTCTATATTTAAGTACCTTAAACAAACATTTACAAATAAAGTAATCGAAACAAAGTTTCCATGCATTCCTCTAGCAATAGTATTTCCTCTGAACATAAAGAGTACCATGTCTAGAGGAAACTAATTGTGATTTTTGCCCCTACACTTTGTTTCAAACACTTCACAATTTTTGTAGAATGTTTTCATGGTTATAAATCAGTTTGTTGCCTGGCATTTTGGAAACAGTCATGATTAGTACTGTGTAAGACAAAACACAATGAGCTTCTAGGAAATCAGCAAATTTTCAATCTTTTTTTGGAACAGTTAGAATCAGCCCTACTCAAATTTTGGTGATATTAAAATAATCCAAGAGAGATTTAGAGCACATAAAATTTATTATCATGACAGCATTATGAACAAGGGTACATGTGAGAACTTTCTCTAAACTAGATTTTGTTTTTGTCCTCAGTAAAGGAAATAATGCTGTTTTAGAAGAGGACAGTTAAATTTTTTATATGTATTTTTTTGCCCTTCCCTTCCCTTTCCCTTGATGATAGTAGCTGACTACATTCAACTAATTTGTAAAAATGTTGTGGCAAGTTTTCCCAGCAGACCTGGAAGAGAGTTAAAAGTCTTCCACAAGCAAATTGTCCTGGTGAATCTTTTAGTTCCACTTAACTAAAACATTGAGTATTTATGCCTTTCTGATATTCAGAAGGACAAGAGTTGATATCTTATGTTAATTGTATTTATGTTGTGTGTCACTTTAGGTTCATTCACTTCCATCCCACTACACCAGCTAAAAAGGTGAAAACTTGTTTGAGAGGCAGTAAATAAATTCTTCCTTTTTATTCTTGAACTGTATTACTGTGTTGCAAAAACAGGTATTGTTTTACAAGTTAAAAAAAATCTATTAGGAAGAGCTCAGGGTTAAGGAAGAAATGAACAAATTCTGTCACTTCCTCATCTGACTGTTAAGGTCCATTTAACAGCAAGGTAAATTAGCATTTTTGTTGTTTGACACAACTTAACCCATGGGAGAGTATGAAAACATTTCTGGATTAAGTTTAAAGGGGACTTGTTTCTTAGCTGCTGTTGGGATGGAAGTGAATGAGTAAAAATGTTTTTGTGCAGTTTGTGTAGTAAAAATTCCTAACTCCAACTGAAGTGCTCCAAGTATGTGAATGAAACAATGTTTGATAGAGATGCTTATTTGAAATTGTAGTCTTTGGGTTAGAAATTAGATGGTAAAGTTTTTTTGCTGCCCATCCTTTAAGTATAGAGGCCTTAAGACATTACCTTGTGTAGTTACATGAAGTAAGCTTAACTGTGCAGCTAAGTGCTGGTAGCAAGGAGTTGTGGTACACTATTCAAGGGATTAAATGATCAAATTGCATTTGGTGAGCCTCTTTTAGTGGCTCTTTCCATTGGATTAGGGTGCCATGGAATTCTGCCAAGGGTAGAGTAGAGATAATGTGTAGAAAAGAGGAGTTGAATGGGCATGGCTGATGATGAAGATATTGTTCTTTGGTCTGAATTAGTTGGAGCTTTTGATTAAGTGTCTTAGTTAAGTGGGAAATTATTTATTTGTAATTAATGTGTACATATGTATATAGTGCAAATTCTAATTATGTAGGAAGATTTATTTTCAGGACAGAGTTTGATGGAAAAGTTTGGAACTTGTAATGGAGAGATAAGAACCTTGAGAAAAGTCAACCCAAGTTCACAAATATTTTGAGTACAAGAGTTTCCCTTGTTAAATTGTTGGTACTCTTTTAGTTTGTCTCCACTGTGCTCTGTGATTTGGGTGAGAAATTGCACTACCATCTTAGCTAATCACATATTACACTTCATGGGTCCATTACATTTTCCAGTGTTAAGGTCAGTTTGTTTCTTGTGGTATTGAAAGTCAATGTACCATTTGCTTTGTTTGGCTGTTGTAATTCTGTTAGGTTAGTTTTATGACTCTTGGTAACAAGTATCCCTAATAAGTGATTAGTTTGTTAATGTGCAGTGGTGTAGTTTGCTATTTCATGCCCACTTTACAGAGTTAACAAGATTTCCATTATGATTAAGATTTTTGTTAATGAATAAATGGGGGACAGTTGAAACTGAAGTTCCAAAAACTGTGCTCTAAAGTTTCTGTGGAATCGAGGCACTGTCTGTTATTCTTATTAATGCAGTAAAACTGCAATTCTGAAAAATTTTTTTTCCTTAAGACAGCCTACTCTTTCCCCATGAAAACTTCGTAGAATTGAAGTTAATTGAGTAGGTAGGAATGGCTAACTTTGTGTTTGTATTGACAGCTGGACAGTGTGTAGAATAAGATTATACATACAGCCAGGGTCATAATGTGATGAATTGTGAAGGAACAATATCTGTGCACACCCTTTACTCCTTTCATAAAAACGGTAATTTCATTACAGCTAAAGAAGAAGAGTTAGAAGAGACTCTTGGCTCAATTATAGCAGCAGGATTAGTTACCTGTTTAATGAAAGAGGACTGGCCATTTTAACAAGACATTGTGACACCTATCTAGTAGAATAATTACTGAGGCATAACTAATAATTATGGGAAGAGGTAGCATAATGGAAATAAGGAAAATTAAAAGCTGTTCTACAGAAGTTGTCTTGCAAAGTGGGAGAAGTTATCCATCAGGCTTAAATGGCCATTAACAAACCCAAGAAGTAGAACTGTACAGTACACAACAAGGGTTATGAGCATTGCCTTGCAATGTGTACTTAAGTATAAAGATAACAATGTTCATTAGTATTAATGTATATTTGTACAAGTCATCTTATTGGAACCTGGTGTTGTGGATTAATGACATGGCTGGTAGAAATGTACAGTGATACTCTAATTTCAAATATCTGAGATGAGAAGGTTTATTATCCAACTTCTTTGCTAAACAAAAACAAAGAAACAAAAAAGCAGTTGTGTTGTGCCAAATATTAAAACTGCTGGTTTTTTTCTTTTTTTTTAAAGGCAAGAGATATTTTTAGCCTATTTTTGTTATTATTTCTGACTTATTAATTTACTGAGTTCCTCATGAAGTTGGATAATAAAGTAGTTAAATTTTTCTGGTGCCATAGTTGAGGATATAGTGATAACACCTTTTTGTTATCAGTGTCAAATTACAACATTGTATTATTATTATTATTATTGTAGTTGTTATTATTACTATTATTATTATTATTATTATTATTATTATTATTATCTAGACTGAAACTGTTGCCTGATAATGTTACATATTTAAGCTGTTTTCAACCCTTAGCAGTCAAATATGTATTACATCTTCAGTTCATTGGTCATAAGGTATAAGTTGATACAAATGTTTTGTATCGACAGGAAGTATCCAGCACACCTCTTGGATAATTTTTACAATTATTTTTCTATCTTTATGCCTTCCTTTGGCTTTTGATTATTTGCTTAGTTTTTTCTGTTTTGTGTTAATGGATATTTTCCGTAAGCATGTGTTTTTGCTAGGCTAAAATCTTGATTTTCTTCACATGTTTTTGGGAATTCCAAGGTACTTTTTTGCTCCTGAAAGTTAAACATAACTGCATGTAATAACCTTATGTTCAAGTGACTATAGGAAAATGTTTGGTGGAGCAGCATGTAAGTTTTAAGAAATCTTGAATAAGCTCTGCATCAGTGTTTTCTTCTTTAGCCTCCTATTATGCTTTTTTTACTGTTCCATGCAGAGCTTTTCATGTTTTTCAAAATATGATTTTTTCCTAGACATTGAACTTTCATTTAGAATTGAAGCAAAGATATGACAGGGGCAGGTTGAGCATTAGCTTAAGGTGTGGTTAGTTTTCGTGGCATAAACACAGGGTGTAATGCTGCAGTACCCTGAAAGAAAAGTTTAATATGACTCAGTATTACTTGAATGCCTTGGTGTCTTTTCAGGCCCTGGACAAGCATGGCTTTTAAAGTTACACTGTAGTTAGCTCCTGTTTGTTTCATTACTGATAATTAATGTAATACAGTTTTATGTCCTCTGCTGTCATGTTTCCAAAGTTGTCTAGTGCTTTTAACTTATCATGTATAGACTAACCTCTGACTGCTTATTTCCAGGTTGTTCTTGTTCACTGTGTCTTGCCTTGTTGTAACTATAAGCTTCTGTATTAGTGTTGTTGTGTTTGTTAGTTATGCTTTTTTTTTTTTTTTTGGTTTATGGTGATGTTTTTACCCAAGGGACTGTTTTCTCAAAGAGAAATGTTAAGATTCTCAAACAGTTTATCTCGAGGTTAATTGTGTATTAAAGTCCAAATTATGTAACTATTTAGTTTGAAATGAACTCTTGTTTTAAGGTTATTTCTCTGCCTTTCATCCTTAAGTTTTAATTCTTTCAGTGTTCAGTGTTTTAATGCTTATGACAAGTAATCCTTTACCCAAATCACTACTGTGTCTAGTTTGTTTAGTCTTATTGCAGACTTCAGGTGCAGTTAGTAAAACGGTTTTTTGTATTGTAACCGTGTGTGTAACTGGCTTTGGGTGATTAACTTAACATCAGATTTGAAAGAAACATCACCTGTACTGGTTCCTTAAAGGAGACAGACAGTTCAGGCTGAGTTTTTAACTTCCTGAAAGTCTCTTTTGACTATTCTTTAGCTCTGTTCCTTCTCTGAAGGAACCTGGTGGTTAAAATGTATGACGACTTTTATGATGTCCATTAGATAAGTCAGTGCTAAAGTAATCTTAATTGGATGAGATTGTATGTAAATCTAAACGTTTTGGAGTTATGCTAGGAATTAAAGTATTTCTACAGGATTAAATTTAGTTTGTGTTTTATGTGGACCATTTTCAAATAACCTGTAATGTTATGGCATCAATAAAGTCTGATCAAATCTATGTGTGATTGGTTTACCCAATGTATTCAGTTGACAGTTGTGTGCGTAATTTTTCCCATGAACCATAAACTCCACTGTTTTATTTCCAGCTCTGTCAGGAACCAGATCTAAGAGTAAAGCACTAAGTTTACTTTGATCAAGGGGAAAGGCTTGATTTCACCAGCCAAGTTGGCTTTAAATTGAATTGGATGGGTAGCAAGGGTTTGTCTTTGTGCTTCTTATTGTGTCTTCACTCTTATGCTGCTGAAATGTGAAAAGTTAAAGTCAAATTCTCATGAAAAAATACCTCACCTCTCTTTCACTATGCCTTGCTATATAATAAAACTAAAAATGAATTGCTTCCGGAAATGGGTTCTATCTAACCTGGTAGGCGGTCAGATTACAAGCAATGCTATGTGATAGTAAGGTGAGGTATTTCTATTGAAAATTTGACTTTAATTTGTTATTCCTAAGTGCGGTAGTAAATATTCCTATAAAATATTAAATATTAAAATATAGTAAATATTCCCATACAACTCCTGTGACTCATTTCGCAAGATGATCATCTCACAGCTGAAGCTTAAGCTGCCTGTGGACGGACGAATTGATGAGAATCTCATGTCAATAGCATTCGATCAGTCACATAGATATCTGGCGTCAATTTTGACGCTTTGTGGTCCTCTGTAATAACCGGTAAATCACTCCAAGCTGCCCTTATGGGCAAGTCTCTATGTTTTGCCTGCATTGCTAGCTGTCTTTGGGCTTCGCCAGTTAAAACTTCCATTAAAAAGCCTCTCTTTACATGTGTAAATTTGAGGGTAAGTAAATAAACCAAAAAGCAAGACACGGATTCCTTGCTATTTTATTCATAAACTGAATAGTTTAAACTTTACCTAAGAATTTTACAAGACTTATACATAATCATTGTCTACAACAGCTCTGGAAAAATGACTCCGCGCGCAATTTTTACAAAAGTAAAGTTCAACAAAAGCAAATTTATTTGTATAATGGAACGGCTTCTGTCGTCCAATTTCCCCAAAATGCATTGTTCCTCAGAAATTTGCCTGCTAGAAGAGAATCTAAGCCTCTCCTTCACACAATGCCCGTGCAACGTCATTTAAAATGTTCTAAACTTCAGTAAAAGTAATCCATGACACAGAACCGCTACTGTTTCGCTGGGCTGACTCGTTCTAACTGAATGCCCCAGTGCAAAAGTCAAACATCACCTTCTGGTAAGACTTTTTTCGAAGAATTTCACCAAATTCACCTCTTACTTCTTGAGCAGGTCAAAAATGCACGATTTCTCCTCAGTTGCCATGCCTACGTCACTTTTCCGTGTCCTAATCAAGTCATGAGATCTATTTCGTGACACTTCGTCCAGATGGCGTGACGCCAGTACACATGCCTCTGCTATTTTCCTTTTTTTCCACACAGAACAGAATATAACCGTTTTATTACGTCACTAATAATACGATTCCTTCTGCTTTAAAGATTGTCCTCAAAATTTTCGGAGAACTTAAAACCTTTACTGGAAAAAACGTGCATGAGAGTAGAAACTGTCCACAGTCAGACAAATCCATATTTAACGTAAGCTTGTTCATGTCCAAGGAATTATAGGCGGTAAGTTAAACCATTGAGTTACAATAGCAGCCAATTTGCGTTCAGAGTAGCATCTGATTCTTAGGTCTGAGTTTGATTGACGATAATCCTTCTTACGCAACGTAAACGTAGACTTTCCTGCAAGAAAAAAAAACAAGGAGGAAAGAATTATTTTGAGGTTTTACCGCCGCAAAAGATCACATTTAATATACTTAAGCAGCCTCAGAAAGACCTTTCAGTTTTAAGGAGTAAGGCATAGAACTCTAAAATGCACCCCTCCCCCAAGATTGTTGGCAGCTTAAGGCCACAAACGCAACACTGTTTTCTAATTACAAGCACAACCCAAAGTATTCAAAGGAGAAACTGAGTTACATCCATAGAACACGCATTAGGGTATTATGCCTTCTTCTGCCGGAGAATGAATGCCGTAAATAGCTTAACAGTCCTACTGTACGATCTCGTTTTGCATTTGACTGTTTTGCTAACTTGCCGTCTAACTAAGGAGTGTTATGACGTATACTACATGTTGATGTCACTGACCTGTCCTCGGGAGTCCTGGCTAAGTATTCTCTTTCAATCAAGCCTTCAATTCTCTTCTTAATAACTTGTGGACTGGGCATGAATCGAGCTTTAAGCTGTTCAGTTACCTGCTCACGACAAACACAAACACGAGTTCACAGGGATGCTTCAAAGAGAGAGGAAAATCTAATTCATTACTACAATTGAAGCCTCTTAATACAAACCTCTGCTACTAGGAGATTATGTGGTGTCTTTTTTCGTGCCTTCATTATTCGAACAATGGCGGCTTCAATTCTGTACTTTATTAAGGAAATAAATACTCTGTACTATAGCTCAGATTGCTAAAAGATGTCACAGCTTTGTGGTCATAGTCAAGCACGAAATCATAAGAAAACGCAAAGAAGCATGCACGCGTTCCGGTCAAGAATAGCTCCGTAAATATTCACGACACGAGGACTCAGCCCGGGCTTGACCCTGCATCTTAGGATCGTGATTCTACGGCGCTAACCATTAGGCCACCGTTTCTCTCAGAATACAGAGTTTGTCTTAACCCTTTACACCCAACGATCATTATGCATATTCTCCACACTGTTTTCCAGACATTTTCTAGAGTACTGACACGGAGAATTTGTTTGAGAATCAATATCTCCTTCAGTTGGTGATCATATCCTTTATTCTCATGACCTTGATGTTTGATTCAGCAGTGATTTTAATCTTAAAAGATTCAAGTCACTCTTAACAGGTAGAGGCTTCAAAGGATACTCATGTTTTCTGTCTTCGTCCACTTTATTTCTGGTTTCTCTCCTCTCGGGTTCCATTTCACCTTTGGCGAGAACTGCACAGAGAAGAGAGAGAAAAGTTTGATATCGGTTTCTTCAAAAGGAAAGAAGAGGCTTAAGGAGAAGAGACTGAACTGTACCTGTTTGTATCTTTACTCTGTGTAATTTGGACGTAAATTGTTCATTCACTGAGAACACATCCGTTGGTGCTGGAAAGAACAACATGACCACTCATCAATCATCATTATCATGACATCAGAGTTGATGGTCAAAGGTAAATTGCAGCTGTATTAATCATAAACAATAAGGTCACGAAAATAAAAAATAAAATAAACAAGTAAATAAACAGACAGAGAGATAAACAAACAATCAAAAAACCCAACATTTAGCTCCCTAGCTCAGTTAGTGGTAGAGGGTATCAGTGGGGTGATGGCTTTTAAGGCTAATGGTTAAAATCGTGGCCATTTTACGGCTAACGGATGATTTCTTTTCGTTTCGGTTAAATGAAAAATTTTAAAGGTTAACTAAACGGTTAACATTTGCTGGTCAACATTTACGCTTGACAGCTAGGATTTTTTTTTGCCAATTTACGGCTTATGGTTCACCCCATTGAGACCTTAGTGGCATCACCTATCCAGTATCTATGAGTAGAAGCGTGAAGAATTTCCACAAGTTTTCAACTCACATATGTCCCTTCCTTTAGGATCTTTAGTAAGAACCCTCTGTGTCGCTTTCCCACATGCTAATGACTGCAGCGCTCGGTTTAAATCTCTTTCGGGAATTTCTGTATGCTGACTTATTTCCTGCAACGAAAAAATACACAACTTGAGCACATGTGATAATATACACATGTAGGGACGGCACAAGAGAACTTGAGGGGCCTTTTGCACTTCTTAGTCGCCCAATGCGCCCTCCTTCATCAGCTGTCTATTGAGTCATGTATACCTACCTCATACGTCCATCGTTCTTGTGTGTTGAAAAGCATTAGCAGACACATCTGATACGAGGAGACCTGGAATATATGTCGACGTGTCTCTGTCGGACCACCCTCCTAAAGATAAAATAACACTTGTTGCTAAAATGTTGGAAAGCCAGATCAATTGTGTAATAAACATGTAAAGATACAGATAACTGGAAGTGCGGTGGAAACATGCAAAGTTACAAACCGCAATTGAACCAAAAATTTAAATACAACACAATGATAACACAAAGTAACTGTATTGAAAACATTTTGAACTACAGAAATAATCACCTGTCATCAAAGTTAAAAGATCAGTCGATTTTTTCAAAATCAATAGTTGTCAAAACGTGGTACTCACTTTCTTGGAAGGTGGAAATGTGGCATTTAGCTCAGCTGTTCCCTGTTAACAAGAAACAGATCTCGCATCTCATCACAACTACCACAAGTCATGTTAACGTTGATAAAAAGGTACAATCTTCGTTCATGCTGAAGGGGAACTAATCAATTCTTGTTGTTGTTTTAGTCATTACTTCAGGAAAAAATTGCAAGCCGAAGAAAAAGCTTAGAAGAGCTAGGTCATCGTTTGTTTATAAGTAATACTCTGGCCTTCAATATTACAGTGTGGCCATTTCCAATCCATGTGAATCTTCTCCATCCTTAACCGTCTCAGTTCCTTTTTTCAGTTTATTCTTAATGTAGTAGTGTTTCTTCGTCTTACCAAACCAATATTATGTTACTTCCCTCACTCTGAAAGTAATTTCGCACTTAGAAACGACTGAAAACTTGGTGGATTATTCCTTTCGAACCGAGGTTTAGATTATTTGACTATAAAAGAATCATGAGGTTACTCTATTGGCTAAGCAACAATGATCTATTGATCTTTATATAATAAGCTCAGTTATGCACGCATTCTGATTGGTTCTCACTCATGATCTATTGAAGGACAGATATATAGATGACGTCATCATTAAACCTTTTTTTAATTCTTAATTATATAAAACTAATAGATTCCAAGTTGCCACGCGTCTGTTCAGTAATAGATCACAGAGGACGTCAAAATGTGGTAAGAACATCAATGACACACTCGGCTGCGCCTCGTGTGCCACTTTTTTGTTCTTACCACATTTTGACGTCATCTGTGACCTATTACTGAACAGACGTACG